TAATTAAAAAACAATTAAGTAGATATCTTAAAAAATGGGCAACACTAACAGTCTTAGCTTTTAACCCAATTAAATTGTAACGTAGAGTTAGAAAATATACTACGATTTTCAAGCAACGTTGGCTTTTTAAAAAATATAATACGTTGAAATTCGTCGTTCCATTTCGAATATATGTTTATTATGTAAATACAAGAAATTTGATCTTTGTCATAAAAAGACATGCAGCGTGCACAAAATCGAAAGTAACCACAATTTAAGGCCACAAAATTTTTGTAGTAATAATAACATTTATTATCTAATGGGACGTATCTGTTTACAATAAAATAAACTGTACAAATAGGATGGAATGTTTCGTTAACTTTAAATGCTAAATATGTTTTTTTTAGAATGCTTATTAATTTTTTGAAATAGCTATTATTATACAAAGTAGGCATTTACAACTTTGATCAGGGTACCTTCGAATGATCAATTTCATAAATATACTACTTTTTAATGAAATATAATGAAAGAAACGGTTATATCCATTTTTTCACATATTGTTAAAATGTATAAGGAAATTTCGCTGTTTAAGCAATTTAATGTCTATTTCTTTTTATATTATTTAATGCTATATACAATGAGCTAAATATAGCAGGTTTTCCATCGTCAGTTCTTAGAAGAACATACAAGAAGAATGCTGTCATATATGCAAAAATTTCAATTTATTATATGATTAAATTATGTAACAGATACGTCTGTCTAAAAAGAACAAACTTATTTTCAATTACATTTATATTAAATTAAAGAACAGTTTTTTACGATTTTTGAATCGATCAAAAATAAAACAGATTACATATTTTACAATATCTGTTATTCTTCTTGCTACATCTTCTATAATATAGTTGATTTTTAAAAATTTTCAGTTTGTACATTTTGGCGACTATGTATATGTTTTAAAGAAATTTTCTAATCTTTGTTACTATAATAAAAGATCCTTAAGAGAATGTTTACAATACGTGTATAATATATAGGTCTCCAAAGATTTAATTTCTCTATATAAAAACAAAATGAAATTTACATTTATAATTTAAAACAAATTATTCATTTTAAAAGAAAGTAATTTAATTTCGTGCAATATTTCGAAGTCGTCGTTTAAAGGGAACTTGTTTTAATAACTTGTTAATTAAAATTCACATAATACTTAATCCTAAATTATAGCGTCATTGTATACAAAATAATTGAGATGTCTGCTTAATTTAAATGTAACCGAAATTCGACAGATTTGAAAATCGTAATAAATTTTATGTAATATAATTTTTAGAACTTTTTTTGACGTCCTTTATATATTTAAGTATAATTTGACTTTTTAAATGTGTAAACTCATATTACTTGTTCTTTTAGTAACGAGCCACTTGATCAACAAATTGAGATAAGTAATTAATATATAGATTATTATCGCTTAAGTTATTTACAATATCAAATTAATGTTTTTTTTTTTTT